TCACATGTGTATGTGCGTGTGTGTGTATATATATATGCTTGTTCATTTGTGCTTAATAATTATTTGTTTCCAGTTGATTGACGAAGAATCCTTTAGTATCATGGCTCTATCAGCACTTGTCTCAACTGCAATCATAACCCCGGTGGTGAAATTCCTATACGATCCATCCAAGAGATACATGTCCACCATGCGAAGGAGGACAATTGAACATGCCTTGCCCAACGTGGAGCTTCGAATGCTGGCCTGCATATACCAAGAAGACAGCACCCCTCCCATCATCAACCTTCTTGAGGTCTCAAATCCAACCCCCAAAACCCCCATTTGCTTTTATGTCGTTCATCTCATCAGACTCTCTGGCAGAACTGCCCCAGTCCTCATCACACATAGGGCAGGGAAAAGGAGGGCCAGAAATTTTGAGTCCCATGACTCAGATCGTATAGTGAATGCTTTCAGATTATATGAGGAACATAGCTCTGGTGGTCTCATAATGAATGCCTTGACAGCCATTTCTCCCTATGCCACAATGCATGATGATGTTTGCACCTTGGCATTGGAGAAGAGGACTTCCATGGTCCTAATCCCATTCCACAAGCAATTCAACGAGCTAAGTGGCTCAGGGGTATTGGACAATAATCCTATTAGGTCTGTGAATCGAAACATTCTTCAAAATTCCCCATGCTCGGTTGGGATTCTTCTCGATCGTGGTACCTTGAACACCAACGTTACTATTTCATGCAAAACTTTGTACAATTTCGGGATGATCTTTGTAGAAGGACCTGACGACCGTGAGGCATTGGCATATGCTATGCGGATGGCGGAGCACCCTAATGTCAGCCTCACGGTCGTTAGATTGGTAGACCATAATATGAAACACAGTGTGCATAGAGATCTCGATATGGTCCTAATCAGCAAGTGTAAGATAGCAATTGCTGGGAGAAAACAACATGTTTATAAGGAGGAACATGTTAGAGATAGTGTGGATATGATCAATGCGATCAGGTCAAATTCAATGGAAAATTTGTATGACCTAATTTTGGTTGGGAGACGTCACGATAGCAATTCACCGTTGTTCATGGGACTCACAGAATGGAATGAGTTTCCAGAACTCGGGTTCATCGGAGACATGCTGGCATCTTCAGATTCCAATTGTAATGTCTCAGTGTTGGTAGTGCAGCAACAAATGCTTGGAAGTGATCGACTGATGGTATCTGACAGCAGCTTTAAGTCCAAAGGGAAAGAAGGATCGTTTTCTATTGTGGATATGCCTCGCGATGATAGAGTGCACCCAGTTGATTATTAGGGACAAACACGTACAGTAGAGAAGGAAAGGGAAATTTGCTGTTGCCTTCACTTTTTTACTTAACTAGGATAGCTTTGTACAAGAATTCTGGTTATATAGGGTTATTGAATATGAGCTAGCTTAGCTATAGAGATCATGTTTCTTGTAAGTTTTATTTGCTCTTTTTCTCAAATTTTATAAACCTTGTATATTATACTTTTGTAGAAACTAATGAAACATATTGAAGTACAGAATAGCTTGTACTGCAAGATATATCAACCTAATTTTTCTACCTAGATTTCTTATTCATTATGCACACATGGAAAATTTCGTTCGATTTTATATCTTTGGAAAGCATACGAAAATTATGAGTACTTTTATATGTACCATCCATCTAATTGAGGTAGATCTCAACTTTGAGATCAAACGATATGAAACCTGGGAAATCATTTTTGAAACTAACCTTCTGTATGTGTCCTCTTGTCATTTGAATATGCAAGTGGACTAAAAGTTTATTGTGTGTTATATTCCCCATACTCCTTCACCCCATATTTCAATTCTTGACCAACCCTTCCAATAGATTATAGACTAAAATTCAAAGGCAAACAAACTTAAATAAGTTTCATATATATATTTAGACGTTTACACAGCACAAATTACAATTTAAAATTGGGATCTTAGACCATTGATATCCTAAACAACTTTGTGCCCGACAATAAAATGGTACAAAGATGGATTAAAGAAACTTTATACCACAAGACAAGATCGAGGAAAAAGCCAATTGAGAGATGATTGTCAAGTATCTGTAGGGCAACAAAGGCAGGAATTGAGGACTAGGACCCACCAATTCCTATCCCACCACCAAAAGAAACAAATAAAAGGCATACACTGCTATCCAAAAAGCAAAGAAGAGAAAAAGGTTGTATATATAGGGGAAAAATCCAATATCAGTTGTGACAAAATGATAAACATTATGGGGTAATAAGAAAATAGGGCCAAGCAATTAGCAAACAAACCACTGGCCCTCAACTTTTGGATGTTGAGTTCTTAACTACTCATGGGGACAGGACAGATAGGATGCGCTATAGTGCTAGCTATATTCCCAAAACCATGTAAATTAAAAATGTTTTGGAATATCAAGGAATTAATCTCTGTATATTAATTAGTTAATTGGTTGTTTACTGCTCTCACAGCTGATTGCATAAAGTCTCTTTGGAAATTGTTAAGCTCTTAATTGCCCGTGGGCAAAAGCAAGGTCTCTTGTTGCATTTTCTAGATTCTCTTAAGTTGTTTTCTATAAGATGAGTAATCCTCAATGACAAAAACAAAGTTCAAAATTTTGAATCCCTAATCGGTTTTATTCTTCATTGCTTCATAATAAGTTACGCCTACTTTTGAATTTCATGTATTTCAACCGATGATATTGCCAATCGATTTATTTTCATTTAGAAGAATGAAACAACAAGAATCAAAGTTTTTTTTAATCAACAAATAATATTCGAACTTGAAACTTCTTTCAATATTAAGAAAAGATACAATTAGATCATGAGTTAGTTACAACTTCTTATTGAAATTTAGACAATGTAAGGTCAATTAATTTAAGATTCTTACGGTGTGAAACAAGAATAATTAAGGTTTGGGACAATGTAAAGTTAGACTCACCATTGACAAATGATATTGAAACTCACCCCCCCAAAACGCATAGAGAAAGCCATTTTCAGTTTTTCAACTGACCAGATGTCTCCCGTCCAGAGAGATTCACCCAAGTTCTCCTCCGGGAACTGGCGACTAGACCCGTGAACTTGTCGAAACCAATGCTACAATTAATCTCTTGGCTCAATGCCTATATGTTCCTCGGGATCTCATCTCATTTTTTCTATTTCAATCCATTATGTGTTTAATTAAAATTAAATGCCTGGCGAGGTCTCGTTGGTCCAAACCCACATCTCACATGCTTCCCCATGATTAATTTCCCCAAAAATATTTACAATCTCAACTGGTTAAACTGAAATCTTTGATATAAAAGAGCTAGAAACTGATGCAGTACTTTTGTGGTCCAAAACATTAATATATAAATATCATTCATGTAATATTTTATGGGAATCCATGTGATGTGAGGACTGAGTTATACGAAATAGGTTTAGCTAAGAAGATTTGCCAGGTTGGTTTTGCATTTAAATTTATGTAGCTTCAAGATGTAGCCATTCAAAACTTTTGGATTTATGCTAATAAGATAATATGCTCATAATAATATAAGGGTTGGAGCTCATGTCCTGCATATCAAAACACCTCTCTCTCTCTCTCTCTCTCTCTCTCTCTCTCTCTCTCTCTCTCTCTCTCTTCTAGGAGTTTTCCAGCATTTCACGCAAACTGTTTTAATAAACAAAAGAACATACCATCTTCTTTTTTTTTACATTTATTGTGATTTAAGCTTTTGTTATTTCAATATCAGTATTCATTGTTTTTTTAAGTATATGTAACTAATTGGGTCAACTAAGATGATGAAGAAGAAGAAGAGATTAATTGCATGATATATACTATAATCATTTGTTGATTAATCAATTTGTGGACTTTGGAAGCCAATGGGTTACGTTTAATTACGAATAAATGTAGAGCTCACAATCATTAACCCTAATGAAGACGTATATAATTTATTATTTATATGCATTTTCACAAGTGGTTACCTCGATACATTCCCTCCATTTGTTGGCTAATTAAATGCTTTTACAGGGCTAGCATGCACTTTACGCACAAATACTATGGAGGTTTGAATCCATGACTACTTGAAAGCATACCAAAAGCCTGAGCATATTTCACTAAACATCAATTCTCTTTTCTTTTTCTTTTTCTTTTTGTTACTAAATTCTACAATCAATTATTTCAAATAATAGTATAGTATATAATAATGCATGTATACATAGCTGCACTACAATACCGCGTAGATGAACTGATATGTTTGCCAACTATTCTTTGCTCAAGTCAAGTCCACATATGATATATATATATATAACATAATAAGAACAATAATGGAATATATAGGAAATTACGCGTTAATATTGAAAGCAATGTAGACTAGGTGCCAATAGAATCAATCACCTCCAACATTTAAATCAGTCATGGAAATGGATCTGACTAAAACACAATCAAATTTCTAGCAATATATTTTTTTCTTTTTGTATAAATTTCCCGAGAAATTAATTTTTCATTTGTACAAATTATGAGAACAGATCAATTTTCAGCTGCTCTTCAATGAAAGTATATGGAATTATGGATTGCAAGAAAGAAACTATTTCACACTTCAATTCAACTATAATGGAAATTTCTCTCTCTCTTTTTTATTGGGCAATAGGCTGCCCAGTTATTTGGTTCTGCACACACAACATGAGAGATCGATGAGAAAAGAGAGAAATAGAAGAAGAAACATATTTACTTACAAACTTGAAGGTGTACATACAATTGTTTTCGTACAAACGTACATTTCTTTTCTATCTCTCTCTCTCTGTCAAGACTGCCAGTGTGCCATGATTTTTCAATTTTCTCGAGAACCAAACAGATCATGACCTCATGAACACTGAATTTAATTCCGAATCTGCCATTATTATTAGCAGACCCAAAAAAAAATAAAAAAACCTAGCAATACCACATTTTATCCACAAGAGAAAGTACCACCATGTACCCAAAAAAAAACCCCCCCTCCCATCCATCACCGGAAAAAAAAATGTTAATCTTCGGTGATGCTCTCGAGATGAGGCCGCCATACTGTGACCCGGCCGGCCCGGCGATCCCGCCGTGACGAAGACTTCTTTTCCGTGACAATCTCCGTTAAGTAGCGGTCGGTACTTTCGGTGTGGTTTTTAGTGCTCTTTTTCGACGGCTTCTTAACGCCGCTAGTCTTACTCTTCTTCTTCTTCTCCGATATAGAAGAAGTCGGGATCAAGAAATAGATGCTGCCCCGCTTGAGCTCCGTCTCCGGTGAGAGTATCAAAATGCGACGAACGACGCCTTGGGAGCTGGGTTTGCTCAGAACGTGATTTGGGTTCGCTTCGAGGATCTCACCGGCTGTGACAGAGTGCGAGATTTCTTCTACGTATCCATTCAAATGGACGATCCGGATCAAGTCAAGAGCTCCGCAGGGTAGCACACAAGCCAAACAGCACCTTAGACTGTTGCCCATTTTAGATTTTATGACCTCTCACTCTGTTTTCTGGGTTGCTCTGTTTTTTGGGTTGCTCTGTTTTTTCTTTGGAGTTGGTTTGGAAGGTTGAATGCTATGGAGGGGTGGACTGGCAGTGTGTTATATATAGGAACATTGAAATCTAAAAGAACAGAGCAGAGCTAATTGGGTTGGAAAATGACCAAATTGGCCTCTTGGTGATTTTTTATTTTATTTTTGGGTTTCGGTCTTCTTGTGTGAGATTTTGGGTTTGAGTGGCCCTTGCTTCGATGAGCCAATTAACTTAAGCTGCCTTCTAAACAATTAATGATGTGGGATTACTTGTCTTTACCTTTTGGGAAGTGCTTAAGAATTAATGAACCTTTTGGGAAGTGCTGAAGCTAGCTAGGGTTTCTTTGTTTCAAAGTGGAAGCCAAAGTTGGTCAAATTAGGCGTTTTTTCTTCTTTTGTTAACTGAGGAGTAATTGACAATCAAATATTAATTGAATTTAGTATTTTATGGACAAATTTGTAAATGTTTTCAAATGCTAATTCGATAAATTGTTTATATGCGACTCAAGCGTTCAATCAATTGTTTATATGCGACTCAGGCGTTATAGTTCTGACAGTGGCTCTACGATTGTGAGAAAAAAATATATCGTAAATTGTCTCTTGTGCTACATGTAACACATGAATTAGCTTTTGCGCTACATGTAAAGTGTGAATAGTCTCTTGTGTTGCATATAACATGTGATTCTTATCTTGTTGTACATTAGTGCCTCTAGAAGAAGGATAAAAAGTTTCCGGAATTTCGCTTCATTTTTAGGACGTTAAAAAGATAACTCAGAAAAGTGACATTTAATATGAGGAAGAATATACAAAATTGAAAATAATAGTTATTTAAATCATTCTATTTTTATCTTATTTTTTGAGAAACTAGTTTTTATTTCTTTTCTGTTTTTATTCTTCACCTCTATCCTCCTCTCGTCTTTCTCTTCAATCAAAAGACAAACAAAATAATAAAATATATTCTAGAAATTCATTAAAATCTATTAAATGCACTGATTTGTTTATCATAACAAATGAAACACTAGCCGTGATAAAAGAGAATAAGCAAACCAATCTTAGCTAACAAAATTAACGCTTAATTAGGGTCTTAATCAAGGTCTTAAGTACCCCTACCCTTGAAGCAAAAAAACAGTATAAAGACCTCCAAGGGTGTATTTGGAAATATAAGAAATACGAAGAGGAGTTGTGTATGTGGCTCCCACAACATGACCGAATGACGAGTCGATCGCGAATATAGGCATTAAGATTGGAAACGACAGATTTAAATAATGGCTTTTGGCTTATGCTCAAATTATAAGTGATTAGGTACGGAATGGAAATTGTAGAGTACAAGCTTTTATCTTTTGAGAAAATGATTATCCTACCCTTACGTGAGCTAACCAATTTCACAGGCTCATATGATTGGTCCAGTCTGGCCTCAGCCGAAAGCATAACAGCCCATTTGTCTCGAGTTGTTTTTTAATAGCTGAGACTTTATTGGTTTGTGACATTGCTAGCTGCACTGCCGGTGAGGAAGTTCTTATAACTCAGGACCCTCTGTTAAGAAAAGGCCAGAGAATCTAGCTGTCTTCTTAGAACAGGTGTCTTTTATAATTTTCTTTATATATTTTTTTTTCTTAGCCAAATATGTGAATGCATAGTCTAAATACTAGAATACCCCTTTCCAAATATGTGAATTAATAGTATAAACTAGGTAATGATGAAATGTAAGGAAATATGTACACTTTGAGAGATCACTTGCAATATACATTACCCTCCTCAAAATCATATCAATTGTATGATGAAATGTAAGGAATATGTTAGAATTTATGATAAGTTAAGGATTCGATTTCTTTTAATCTCTAACAAATGATTAAGTCTTGAGCTTGTGATTAACTCTCCATATCCATGACTTGAGCCTTAGGGTTGTTGAGCTCGTCCTTGATCAGAGTAATCAAGTTATGTAATTATTCACAAGGAATTTGTATTTCAAGTAGTTAAAAACAGTTACTCTTGTATTATATTGTTTAATTCTTTCCTCTCTCGAATCGCTTGTATAAAAATAAAAATAAAATATCAGGCTACTATTCAACCATGTTCATCAATTAGGTGAAAACATCCTTCAAATTAGTGGTGAACATTTGTCATATAGGGCTCAGGACAATGAGGTTTAGTGCACTTACTTTATGTAACTCAAATCAAACCCTAAACCTTAACCAGCCTAATTAAAGTATAGCTGAACACAAACTCGCACATTACATGCAAACTTGAAGTATCACAACATCCTAGATATATCAATCTTTTTAGTATTTCTTTGTCACCTAGTGCAATTGTTGCTCGAGTATCTCGCAGTAATTTTATATTTAACTCTGCAAAAACCATCATTTGTTACAAATAATATTAAATCCTTACTAATGCAAACAAACTACATGTTCTTTTCCTTGATCTCCAAAATAATAATTAACCAAGTCCCCATGGTTTTTTTAATTAACTAGCTAGTAAATTAGTTGCCTTTTCACTTTCGCACATATATACTAGCTTTCCATAACGATTTTGTAGATGGAGTTGACGAAAAATGGTAAAGTGGGATAGTGATACGGTTTTGGAGGGTTAAGTGTGAAAATTTGAGTTTCATAGGGTAAATGAAACCGACATTCGAGTCTAAGGAAGAAAACAGTGATTAAGTTATTTTAATAATTGAAAATGGACTAAGTCACTCCTAGTATGATCTCAAAACATCAAATATTTTGTTGGTAGCTGCAGATGGGTATGGCAAGTACAAGACTAAATATTCTAGTCAATAAGGTAGTTCAAACCCTAGCTAGCCAGTATATATGACAAGACAAGTGATTAGAGTATGTGTCTTTGCTCGTGTGGATGGTTTGTAATTTCGCATCTTATGCCACATCAAACAGCTTGGACTAGGAAGCTTCATGGCACCGACCTTAACAGAAATGAAACTTTACAATAATGGGTTGCTAATAAGGGACGCACGAGGCATGCCATAAGATTCCAGATCGATGTGGGATTCAATCTAAAATTGTAATTATTCTCAAACCTCAACATGTACACAACAAGACTGAAGGAGGAAGAAGAAGCCATCCATAATTGAACAACGTGAGGCAAGTCTGTCTTTACACTGAAGCCAAGGTGGAAGCTCAATTTATTAATCAAAGACTTGTTTTTTTAATTATTGGGTTTAAATTAATCATTTTATTAATCGCATAGTTGATGAATAATCATCATTGGTTTTAGAGTATGACTGAAGAAAGCCTCTGCCCCCAACAGCTACCGTAGTACTTTACTATCCAAACTCCTCCATTTGTATTTTTTGTTCCCACCACCACCTTTTCAGCAGAAAAACTTACATGAAACGAGATAACATTGTTTTGCTATCATCAGCCAATTACACTATGTTAAATGAAAAAATTATCACGTATGACATAGCATGATTGGCCGAAATAGCAAAATAATGTCATTCCCATTACACACAAGCTCTCCCAAGACATAGAGCCAAAAGTTAGTTATATAATTAATGCTTCATATACTTTTGAGAGACTTTTAATTAGTGGTTGCAATCTCTAGGTGCATATTTGATAGCTGGCATTGTTGTGGGATTGTTGCTCAAAGCTACAATATTTGATGGATTATACAAATCTTTTGGATTGGTAGAATTCAAGTTCAGTTCATTGTATCCAAGTCTCGATGGCCAATTAGAAGTACATAGAATCTAAAAAGTGATTCTTTTCAGTTCCCTATTGGTGTTCATGGATTAATTGGGATTACTGTATTGAAATTTGTTGGGTTTTTAAAAACAACACATGTTGCAAAGCCCGAGATTCATTTATGATATCAGATTATTTGTAGTACAAGAGAAGTAAATCAAAGTTAGATTTTATACTCACTGATGTGTATATATAGAAAAGGGCATACATTTTATGTACATATAAGTACAGATAACTGAGAAATGATATTTTTTACGAGACAATTTAATATGTTAATTATATTATCATTTTATTGATTTGAGTCGTTAATCATATAAAATTACGTTGGTCGTCTGATAAAATCATAATATATCAAATTATATGACAAGTAGCATTTCCTAGCTATTACTACTTTGGGTTTGGTTCCTTCAAATCTTATATCTACTTGAAAACTATAACCCCAGCAGCCAATGGATTGTCAATAAGTTAGGCATGTAATATTTTCAAAGGAGAATTGGGCCAAGCAATTAGCTCCAATTTTGGAACTGTCTAAATCATGAAGGATTGGTTAGAAAATGTATCGCAACATGATCTCTTAGTGCTAGCTAAGGCTACCACTATATGGCTCATATTTCTCATGGACCCATCTTCATATTCGTGGTCTTAGGCTTTTAGCAAGAATTTCAGGTTTAATTAATTATAACAATAATATCTGTATTGAGACACATCAGAACAGAAGGAAAAAAAAAACTAAATATATACTAGATGGGTCCGTTTAGGTTTTTATTTGGACTTGAATTTCAAGGTTTTTAGACACCTCTCAATTTGAAGCGCGCAAAACTCAAGGAGCTGTCCACTTCAGTTTTAATACCACTTTGTCGAATCATGCACAAAATGACATGTTATGGAAAATTCCAAATCGAACTAACATGATTTTGTTGGATAGAGGGGACGACATGACATGCATGGCCACTAGTTTGTGTAACAGTAACACCAAATTACACAAGTCTAAATTAGCACAACATTTAAAATGACGATAGAGCAGTGAGAACATATAAAACGTTTTCTTTGACTTTTTCTTTTCTTTTCATTTTGATCAATAATTGTTATAGAACCAAAATTGATTTGTAATAGCTTGTTATAGTTACTTCTACAATTCTACTTACTAATCAAATGAGTTCGGATCCTCTACTTATATTATTGTATCAATGCTATACTCGCATTCAAAATTGCGTCAGTTTATACTTGTATTTAGTTTCTTTGCCCAAC